ATGCGAGATTTCGTCCAAACGTGTGCAATATTGTCGCGAATTGAGTAGATGTGCCCTAAACGTGCAATATTGTCACGTAATGTGCAGATTTGTCCTAAATGTGCAGCATCGTCGCGCAATGTGAGGTTTTGTCTAATCGTGTGTAATATTTTCACACATATTGACTTTTCGTTCTAAATTGGGCAAACCTTCTCCAGGAAATTCTGGGCAATCTAATCCTGAACCGTACTCTACCGTTCCGCAAATGTCTAAGTGAAAACATTATGTAAGGTGAAGAGAGAATTTACCTCATGCATAGTCTCATTCGTTCAACTTTACTTGAAGTGAGTGTAAAAAAAACTTCTACAATAAAAAGCAGAAAATTCGAAGACAGGGTGCAGTCCTTGAGCGACATAAGAATGGAGCCTTTAGCTATGAATTTATTTATTATTTTTTTTTTTAACATGGTTGAAAATGCTTTAGAAAAAATATGGTCATTTTTTTACTCATAATGATCTCCCTATTTTCCTCAAAGTTCTCATCACTCTTACCGGACCAGCGCCGTACCGGGGATATTTGGCGCCCTGTGCGAGATATTCCGCCACCCCCCCTCCCCCCTCTATACCTCTCCAGCTTCCCCTGCACCAAAAACAAAACCGCAAAAGCCATTAAGCTGAACTCAAGAAGAAAGTTTGCGAAATGAGGAAGGAGGACGGAAAAGAGACCGTGTTCTAGAATTGTCCTTAACATCCATTCACATGCTCAGAGTAACATTGAGTCATCCCATACCCGTCCGAAGGATAGGATTCTGTTCGTTCTCTAAGGACGCCAGCCGAAATACCGATGAAGATTTAGCTTGTCCCACTCCAGGGCCGGTTTTAGAAGTTGTGAGGCCTGGGGCAAGCGGATTCTTGGAGTTCCCCTGCCCCAACATTTTACCTGGTGGTGCAAATTTTGGATTTGAATCTCCTGCTACTTCACGTGAATACATTATGTTATCCTTTCCTTCAGGGGTCCCCCTGGAAGAGCGGGGCTGGGGGCAACAACCCCCCCTCCTAATCTGGCCCTAATCCATTCTAAAACCTTCAATGACTTCATTTCTTGACGCTACCGCAGTTTTCCACTTTTATATCAGCAGTAGCGAACACACGCAGCAAATATCCGCGCACGGAAGGAGAATTGCCCGCAGTGGGGAAAATCGAGCAGTGGAAATATTTTTTTTCCGTTTCGGAGATTTTGAACTTATCTCGGGTGTACTGATATTCAAATGACTTTGACAGTTTCAGGAAACTCTATTGTTTATCGAAATCATGCAAGTCACTAGGGAGATTCAAAATCCCTCCAGATTCCACAAAACCTTACGCCATTCTGTAAGAACAATACGCTATCACTATCCCTCTGAGCAATTTTTTAGATTATTAATTAAGCGCTTTAAGATTCGTATCGAAGGGTTTCCGTTGAATGCTCTCACTTTTCTCCTGCGAATTTCTTTATCTACTGATTATAACTCATAACAGAACGCGCTGATGCCAACGTCATAGCTGGACGCGGTTTTTTCGCTGAAAGATGTCCCCAGTTTTTCCTAATTTTCAAGAAATTGAAACCATATTAACGAGGCTTGGGTGTTTGCTATTACTACGCTACGTTTTCTTTTCCTGATTTTTTTCAAGTTCTAAGTATATTCTATCTACAAGTTATCTGAGATTATGTTCATCAGCGTTGGAAATCTTGCCAATTTCAGGTAAGTTTTCCAACAACACTTATGCAGATGCATTTGCTATAAGCAATACATATCACCCTTTTTAAAATGCAGTTGTCACACATACCTGCCTGAACTCTGTCCCGCTACCAGAGCTGCAGCACTCTTACAAAGGGTGTTGCATGTGAAACCGAACCTAAATATTGCACCTTTCTGAGGTGGAAATCAATTTTTTAGTTGCATGACTCGTACATCCAAGAGGGATTTTTTCTTATTTTTTTTTAAATATCTTTTCTCAGTAAGGGTCTGCAATTCTCATGTCAAAGACAACTCTGTATTTCTAGTAGGCTTCGACGCGAAGCCTATTTCTTCGCTCAACAAACCTTGGAAGTCCGTGTAAAATACAGAGACAGCGGCACAGTATTGAAACCGCACTTTAACGGGTCGTGAGAGACTTTATTATCATTAATATCCTGTCTTTGGAAGCTGTAATGCCATACATATAAGATAATACACTTTAAAAAAGGCAATGTTGCTCTTTATGGGAGAGAGGTGTCATAGTATGTGCCGATTGGCCGCACGGTTCCGATGGTTTTATTTGTGAGGGGATTTGTAGAAAAGCAACCTGGTAAGCCACATAATCCATGGTCATTTGACGGCTACGAAAGTTGATATGCATATTGGATTCTTGATTTACCCTTACTTCAGCCTTACAATTCGCCTTACCATTTATGAGTCTGTCCATTCGTAGTATTATCCACTGGAATTTTCCGTTTCCTTCATGGTTAAACTTTATATTGCATACTTATAAAACTATATGCACAGTGGCTTACTTTGGCTCAAGAGTCGGTGGGAGGGGGGGACGGGAGGTCAGCAGAGCGGGGGCACCAAACCCCACCCGAGTGATATCAGGAGGAACAAGTATTGCTTCCAAGGGAGCGTCAGGCTCTGTCCCTGAAGCGCCAAGGACGCGGCCCTTGTCCCCCCATAAAATATGCCATTGTAAATGAATATTTGCGTATTTCGAGGTCTGGTCCTAAACGTGCAATATTGTGTAATGCGAAGTTTCGTCCTGAAAGGTGCAGAATTGTTAGATTTGTTCAAACACGCGCTATATTGTCGCGAATTGAGTAGATGTGTCCTAAACGAGCAATATTGTCACGTAATGTGCAGATTTGTCCTAAATGTGCAATATTGTCACGTAGTGTGAGATTTCGTCTAAACGTGTGCAATATTTTCGCACATTTTGACTTTTCGATCTGAATTGGGTGAAGATTCTCTAGGCAACTCTGGGCTCAATTCAACGAAATCTGGGCAAACTAATCCTGAACCGTACTCTACCATCCCACAAAAGTCTAAGTGAAAACATTATGTAAGGTCAGGAGAGAATTTACCTCATGCATAGTCTTTTTCGTTGAATTTCACTTGAAGTGAAGTGAACTTCTGCCAGAAAAAAAACTGAAGACATTGAAGACAAGATGATACTCCAGTTCTTGAGCGGCATAAGACTGGAGCCTTTCGCCATGAATTTCTTCATTTTTTTTAGATGGTGGAAAATACTATTGCAAAACGTGTTAATTTTTTACTTGCAATGATCCCCCTATTTTCCTCAAAGTTCTCATTTGTCTTACCGGTGCAGGGAACCAGTGCCTTACCTGGGATATTTGGCGTCCTGTGCGAGATATCTGTGCGAGAACTTCGGCTCCACCGACAATACATAGCGTATTAATTTCTGTCCTTAATTTAGCTAAACTCAGGAGAACTTGAATTAAGAAAAAAGGTTTTAAGAATGTGTTATATTGATTTGGCAGCGAATCGGCGCCTTGCGAGGGCTCACCGCTCGCATCGCCCTCGATATGGCTCTGTAGGGAACTTAGTAATTCAAACTTCCACTGAATGAAATCCTTCTGGATTCACTAATGGAATGCGAGCCTGTAGTTCTTGCTAAATGGGCATCCAGTATATTATATAATGTTTCTTTCTGCGCTCCCTCAGCATAATTTCTCATGAAATACGAGTACTGTATACCGCCTTCTGCCAAGCTTAAGTCCGGCTGTCCGGCTTAAGTCGCTCGGCAAATTTAAGGGATTCAGAAATACTTTTTAATGATGGAAGCACATAAAATTTCAAATAAGAATAATTTCTGATGAAGAAATTAATTCCGCTGGAAATCATTCTAAATATGATGACGCTATCTAAAGAATGTAATCGTGAAAAGAAAAGTAGATATTTTCCGTTAAATACAGTGGATTCCACGTTGTTGGGCCATCGGTTAATGGGGGCAGCCGGTTTATCGGGACTTTTTGTGAGGAACGGAACCATTTCTATGCAAGTGCGTTGAAATTTCACGAGCTGGCCGACTGTTAAGGCTGAGACCATCGGAAACAGCTTCCGTAGATCTGGCTTTATTCCGGTCCAGAGGTGCCAGCGTCTTCCAATGACGGGGGTCTGACCATTANACTGTTAAGGCTGAGACCATCGGAAACAGCTTCCGTAGATCTGGCTTTATTCCGGTCCAGAGGTGCCAGCGTCTTCCAATGACGGGGGTCTGATCATTATTGTCACTAACGGAAGAGCCTACGTTAACATCGACGAAAACGCACCATGCTTCACCGAACACGATGACTTTGCGGACGATATAATCTCGGACATCGTTGCCAAGAGGCCTTGCTAAGGGGATGTCGCCGACGAGGAGCATGAGACTTTATCTAAGGTGACTCGCGTAAAAGGCCACGTAAGAGCCCTCGGTGGACATCCTTAAGCGCTACTTCATTGAGAAGGGTTTGGATGATAGCGGACATGGTGCTCTTGGCATTGGTGCTTTTGAAAAGCATGGACACGAAGCAAGCAACTATGAGGACATTTCGTGAATCGCAATTTTTGTTTTTTTGCACAAAGGCCATTCGTGTCTGGGTTTCTTACTATACTATGATATAAGTTCGCTTTATTGGGGCAGCCGCTTAATTGGGGCAAATTGGCCTGGAACCAACGTGTCCCAAAAAACAGAATCCACTGTATAGTCCTGAAGCGGGAGAGTCAAGTAGAAAAATTAAATTAGAATGGAGTCAAAATGTTTTTACGAGACAAAACGCCCGTGAAATTATAAAGTTTCTTCCATCTGTCGGGGGAATGGGAAAGTTGCGAGACAAATTCAGCGCCCTCTATCTTTACAAATGAGACGTAATTGCGCTTTACCTGACGATATTGCGCACCGTCATGGAGTGTGCAGTTTAGTCCACGCATGTGCAACTGCACAACATCGTCATTAAGAGCGCACTTTCGTACTTCCAAGAGTAAAAACATCTCTCTCTCCGTCGTATTAATGACCTTCGGGCTGTCCGGCAACGAGGTACGTGTATTTCCTCGCCCATTTGGTCCATAGTAAGAGGAATATGCGATTTCTGCTTCTGCTTGCGAAGCGTTTTTTAATTCTAATTCCCATCATGGATTGAAAACATGCATTATGCTCTGCATTTGGCTCGTTCTTTTCTTCCTCATTACGAAAAAAATGAATAAATATCCTTGTATATATAGAATTATGGAAATTTCCATCGCCCATGCTGACTTCATGTATAAATGTCCTCCAAATGATTCGCATTGAGACGATGTAATACGAGAAAACACTTCTCTTACATACGAAATGATATTGCCCCATTTGACATTTACATTATTACTAGCATACCTTCCTTTAAATTCCAGCATCTTCAATTGAATGTGATTGTGCCACGCTCTGTAGTGAGTTCAAGATCCTGATGTCTGGGTCCAGTGCATCCAGCTGTTTTCGTCTCTTCAGGTTGTGCTGTACGTGCAAAAGTATCTGGACGGACCGACTGATACCCGGTACACAATTGTGGAGGAGGAAAACCTTTCTCTTCCTCGGATCACATTCTGCACAGACCCCTTTTACGACGTCGAGGCTATCCTCTGGAGAAAATTGAAATACGATCTGAAAACGGTTCGCGTGAATCCCAATGACACCCTCCCTACTCAGGTAGAATTGGAACTCAGGCAGGACTTCAGAACGGGGAGCTTTTCGGTCGTGTGACAATAGATTAACCCAGTCGGGTATTCTCACCTTACAGGATGAGGAAGACTAGGAGAAGATCCTGGAAGACATGTCCATCAGCGCCTGGCAGGTTACGAGTCAATATAGGATCGGTCGATCTGCAATTGTGTTCTTCCAGAAGAATTTAAATGCTTCAGGCCTCAGCGACATCTCATCTACAAGTGAATAAATTGAACCCCTTTAGAAAGTAAAGGAAAAGCGAGAGTCATCTGATTCTGACGCAATCTCGCAGACTTGGGAGATTGGAGCACGACGATTCTATTGACCCGCGGGGGCGAGTATCAGCTGGGGGCGTGCCACGTCTTCACGCCAAAAGCGACTTTGCCCAAGGGCAAATACGAGGGCCTCCGCATCAGAGTCAGCGGGACGCAAAGAATAAGGAGATATAGCCGGAATGAATCTGGGAGCTGGAATCCCCCTCTCGTCTACACCGTCTACTTCACCGACCAGGTCGAAAAGGTACGCGATGAGAGAAACCGTGGTCATGCGGTACTGATGCACAATATATTTAGATGTGAATGAGTGAGCAGATGACGTTTTTACCAAGAATGCTTCTTCTTTATGCTTCTTTATTCTGCCTATGTCGAGCTACCATGGGGGATTGCAGTGAATTTTGTCATCCCTGTTAATTGTGCCAAGAGCAGTTACTCTGCAATATGTTAAATCACGTCTAATTCATTGTATCAAGCCACGACAATCGGAATTCAATAACTAGTCTTGTAAACAAGGTCAGATTAATCTATGTAATAAAATCCACTATGGTCCATGGTCCGTGGCATGCGCGCGCACGCATGACACGCGAGCGCTCAGCGCGATCGCGAGTGCTCTCCCCATAGAATATTCTGTCTCCCTCATGTTGTTCGTCTCCCTCTCTTGGCTCCCATTTTTTTCCTGCCGTTGCGACTGTCGAATCTATTCTCGAGAACGATTTTTACCTACCTTATTAGGTATGAAAGTACCTATCTAAATAGGCCTTTTGATGGATACATAACAATTGTTCTTGCTTACGGGTGACTGCCATAGCTTATTTTGTTGACATCTTTGAACTAACAGAAAATATAAGGTTTGCAAGTGCTGAGTCCGAATATCAGGAATCGTTCCAATCATTTTACATGTTACGATAATGAGGAGTATTGACTGTCACTTGAAATCGGTTCTTATACATGAGGAACGTCCTATGCGCGTGGGTCAAGTGAAAAATTGTCAAACTCAATAGGAAACCACCGTACTACAACATATGCAACTCCAGGAACCCAGGAAGCATCGAGGGGACTGCCTCGCGCCAATGAATGGCACGTATCCGTCCGATCCAAATGAACCGCCACCAAGAAGAGGCCAGACATGCAAAACCAGGAAGCGCATGCATAGTGGGACATTGGGTGAGAATCCCTAGAGAACTGGGTTGTGAAGAGTGTGAAGGTGGGGTTTGCTAACACCGACTTAATCTGCGAGTCATCAACCGACACGGGAGGATCACTTTAGCCATGGCCCAGCGGAGAAGCTAACTTAGCGTAAACTTAGCCCTCCATTCATCAACCAACCCTATAAGCTTCAGAAAATAGTGTCCAATATTAAAGACGGCAATTTCATGAGAAAATGACACCAGAATGCAGCTTGTGTTAAAACAACAGACTATTGCATAAACTGTTTCACAGTTCAAGTCCGAATAAGCGCGCAATGAGCCAAAAATGTCACATTCAAATACATAAACCTGGTTATCTGAGCAAGAGGTAAACTATTTATGGCTTCTATAAAATTGATTCCTCTAGGTGTATGGTGATTTCCGTCCAAATCCGAGATGGTGGATCTCACACCCTGGTCGTTTTCAGGTGGAATGACTCTTTATTGCAGTTTTATCGCTTACATGGCGCCAACTCGATTAACTTTCCATGGTTCGTTTCATTTCATTTCTAAAACGGGAAATATGAGGGCACACACGAACGAGGACGAATGCCCACCTTCCCACGGATCCTGATGTAGTTCCATTTCCACAGGAACGGGATGACAACTTCAATGTTGGCTGCCATCGATAAATTATGTTTTACCAGAATGCAATTGAATTGTCAACGCAGGAGAAGGGGAATCCCTTGCCGCGTGTCGGATTCGAACCTGGACCTCCCGCATTCCATCTTCATCGAGCCACGAAGACGGCGTTAGTTTTGGAATGGCGTGGGGCAAGAGTGGAACGTGTATATTTACCTCTACATGTTCCATTATTGCCTTCTCATTAAACGCAATACCGTGATCACAAGTTAGTCCTTCAGACACGAACGCTGTTACTTCTAGCCAAAAACGTTTTTCGTTTGTGCTAGAAGCGTTCCAGCGATCCATTCTTCAAAGCCATCTAGCTGCATTGACATTATCTCAGGAAAAAAAAACTTTTTGGGGCATACCGACTGCATGCTAACGTTTTCATTTTCCAAGACTGAATGACATCGATTAGATAATGATATTTCGGATGCCAGATGACGGAGTTCCAGGGAATTCCGTCGACTGCGGAGTGTGTGGTGGTGAACGCGGAATACGAACAACAGGATATCCAACTTTGGCCCGCCCGCATCAAAACTCTCAGCACCCGAAAGTCGCCGTGCACCCATAATCCCGCCTACAGCCACGTTCAAGTATCAATGTATTTAGTATAATCCATTGATCAGGGCAGCAAAACTTTAAATGATACCATTCCTAATTTTTATTAGTGCATGGAAAATTGCTTGCTGTTGAGTCTGAAGTCCTCCTGTGTGGGTCCTTGGTTGAACGCGTCCAAGAAGCCCTTGTGCCGAAAAGCGGATGAGTACACGCGTTTCATCCAGGAGTACGAGGACCTGATCGAGACGACGAATGCATCCAGATGCAATCAGAGATGTCTGCGGCGGTGCCAATCCGTTCGGTTCCGCCCCATCTTGGAGACGAACAACATCGGCAATAGTGAGAACATGCCCTCTGCTTGGATCAATTTTTACTTTCCGTCGATGGAGGTCGAGGTTCTGGAGGAGCAGTGGTCCTACGACATCCTGGAGATGCTTGGGGAACTGGGAGGAAGTCTGGGGATCATGCTCGGGTTCTCCCTTCTGTCCATCTACGACCTCTTAGACGTGGCTCTCTTTGACATTCGCTCTTGCGGGAAGAAGAGAGTCCTTCCAAGTCACTAGATTTGATTGTGTTTTGTGTGATTTTTTTATTATTGGTTGGTATGTATAATATTCAAAAGGAGAACGTAACAGAATCAACCGCCTGTTCCCTCATACAATTTTAACATCTATTGCATATTCTGACATTTGCACAGTCCTCGATGCAGTCGCCTAGTATCCTAGAGAAATAAATTGAACACGAAGCATTCAAGGCGGATGGGAAATGTAATCCACTCACCATTGAGCCTGCTATCAAGCACATCTCGAGAGATTTCAGTTAGTAGCGAAGTACCTGATATAGGTGTTTTGGGGGGTTGTTTCGATGTGTTCTCCCACTTTATGGTTAAAAAAAATGTCACACAGACTTGAGGATGTCTCGCAGTTGTAGTACCTCACAAAATATTTAAGAAGGTGTTTTACATAATTTTGACGTTTCCATCATATCGACAACAGATAGAATTGAGATGATGTCCTCAAGGCAAGACCAGGTTAAGTTGGAGGGAGCGAATTGATGTTATCTCGGGCTTCATTTTTCCGGAAGGCCCCCTAAAGGAAATTAAAAACGTTACGTATTAAGGTTGGGTGGGGTGAAGGAGTTTGAGCGGTGGCAGAGGGGGGAGAGGGGGGAGGGACCAAGAATCCAATTACCCCGGTCCTTGCAATTCCTTAATCTGGACCTGCCTGAAAGTACTTCATTGCTTGCTATGTCATCTTGATCAGGATCCTATGTGGTTAAACATATTCAATTTTGGATTAGCCTTCCCTTTCCCGAAACCGTATAATAGGCAAAAGGCACTGCATATGCTTGCCCATGCTCTTGCTGTGTCTCCTCTGTGGGAGGAATTTGAATTAAGTTATTCCTTCTACATGGAAAATAGAACTCTCTACAACAATGCGACTGTCTACTACTATTGTCTGGGCAACTGGAGTGTAGGGTTGGCATGTGTGTTCAGTTGTTCAGGTCATATTGCATGTAAAAAAGAGGTTTCTGCTACCAGAAATTCATTATAAAAAGAGGTAAAATCTGAATATTAGTGCTGTATCGACTGAGCGTCAGTGTCGCGCGAGGAGATCTGACCAGAAAAATTCATTTACTAGCCTCTATTTCTCCCTGGGAGGAAAGGGAGACGAGGAAATCAGCTGGCCTGGGCGAGTCGCCTCTTTCAAGAATGTAACATTTCAGAGTGTGATTCCAATCAATCCAATCGCCCAGGGTGCGATTGGACGTGAAGGAATGACAGACACATGGTTGGCCTTTGCATCTGGGATACATTTGCAGCGCTTTCCCCTTTCATTCCCCGATGCCTGTATGGGAAGAAGCCGTCCTCCTTCTGGCTCTTACCTAGATGCCTGAAAACGGCATCTCACCTATCGGGAGTGCTGATGTCCATCGGATCTTCCGTATTGAAGACGATGATGCCGATATTATCACCTCTCAATAGGATGGCTTTGAGCAAATCAGAGACCTTCCTAGTACAGGCACTCAGCACTCCTTTTAATCCCTAATAACTAGTGACACATCGTAATTCAGGACAATTTCCGGATGATTCCTTCATAGGATTTGTGCTTGACTCGTCTTACTCCAGGTTTATCGAAGGTTTGATTGATGTTTATGTCCACCCCACGTCCCTCCCTGTCGAAGACACCCAAGTTGAAAATGGTGTCAGTATTCCGATCAGTGGAGATCACGATTAGTGGGAGTTCCAATTCCTCCCTTTGCAGGACCTTGTACTGAGTGGTTGTAGGGATTTCTTGGTATTTCTTAACATAACCCACCACCTACGAGTAGCATGCACATATGAGCTTTCTTGCAGAACCATATTTGGGAGCTGGATTATACCGAGTCGATTTTAACAGCCATTTTAAGTAACTAGGTTCTGACGAGGTAAAACAATATAGAAATGCTTGAAACAGTTTTTTATACTTTTCCACTGGCATCTGAAACTCAAGTCAAAATTACGTGGCTACATGATATCTTCATGACTTGAACAGAACTGAAAAAAAACATGTGTGCTATCATAAAATTGTTTGCGCTTTCATTGATGTTTACAGTGCCCATCTTTCATTAGGCTTAAGAAATCCAAATCTAAATATTATTACTGAAATGGAAACAAAAAATATTCTAATTGAATTCTGACATTCCTGAATTGTCTGCTGTTTCCATTTATAATATTTTCGGCTCATCTCCGACATAACTGCCGTCTAGCAAGCAACAGAAGGCTGGCTCAAAGCAGGATACGAGGAAAGCAGGATACTCGTACTTTAAGAAAAACGACATTGATCTAGAATTTTCTTCGAGGGACGTGATTCTGTTTTGGGGGTATTTTTGGTCTCCTTTCGGGGAAAATCGTGCAACATGAATTTCAACGTTTTCCCGTAAAAAGCAGGGAAAGTGGGTTGTGGTAATTCGGGGAGAGAAATATGAAGTCAATCCGGTCCAATTTTTACACGCCGGCATTGCCTATTTTATGGTAGCCCATTAATTTAGGGCTGTAATTAGCCTGTCAAATTGCCGGAAAAGGGCTCGGGGATATCTGTGGCGAACTAAGTGTTCTTGGCACACGGCCAGCATCTTAATAAGAGTTCTAAAACCATAAACACGTGATGTCCCCCTCCCCCCCCCCTCAGGGGCGTCGCGTCAGTGTCTGGCGGAGTCAGAGGGAAATCACCCACATGGATGTCATTTATCGACTCCTTTGAGGATTAAAAGTGTGCAGAGTTGGATTGGATTGACCATACACGAGCCCATTGGAGCTGCAAACTCACGATGTCACCCGACTTCAACACAAAACGGACCACGAGCGACTAAATCTGAACGACGGAAAGGGCGTGAGCAGCGGCAAGCAAGATCCACCAGAGAAGGACGCGAAGGCCCTTCGCCTCTTCCGGATCCTTCATCGAGCCCGTGGAAGTGGATATTCATCCACAGCGGGACGCGCTCCGTTCGGTCCAGTTCCTATCTAAGGCATCCTCAACCGGGATAGCTCCGTTTCGATGGAATCTCCATTCCACGGAGTGGTTTCATTCATTTTTAAGGGCATTTTCCTTGATAATCGTCCCTTTCCACGGCGTAGCTCTTTCCCAATTGAAGCGAGTCGTTTGGGGCGTCCTTTATTAGTTGAGTGCCCTATTCAGCTCAATTTGCAGATAATGGGCGAATTTCCTGACTTAGTTCTGATCGGGATGACCATTATTCCATCAAAAACGTTTGATCCCAGTCGAAGGTGCATTATCAGCACCATATGAAGTTAGGCTCAGGGTCTACATGAGGTTGATGAAATTTCGTCACACCTTAGGTTAGAATTTCCGAAAGGGTTAATAGATATCAAACCCGTTTCATTATTGGAAGACGTGACCCCAATCCAGTCTGTGTTCTTTCATAGAAACCGAATCCTGAACACATCGACCATGACCACCTGGTGCTTTGGTGAATATCAGGCCTCATCTCCTTGACGCCATCAGTGATGGCCGCCAGCCCTTCAAATCGGCGTGAGATCTTCGACTGCCATGTCCAGTCTCGTTGTACGTACTATGTCTCTGATCTCCTTGGGCTAACATGACAGATATCCCGTTGACGCAACCTGTGCCTCGACGCTGTTACGTGCGCTTGGACGTTACGCGTGAGACTCTTCAGGGTGCCACGCGTCAGTGAATTGCTGCTTGTTGATTTCGGATGCGTGTGTACTAAAGCGCGAGAAGTGAAAGTGATAACCTTTTAAAGATTGAGTCAGAGAGGTTACGAAGAGAGAGACTGGGAGAGCGAGAGAGGGGGGAGGGGGAGAGAGAGAAAGGGAAAGGGGAGGGGGAGAGGGAGGAAGAGAGAGGGAGAGAGTGAAATCCGATACTTCAATTCCGCTGTACTATTATCATCTCTGTTATTATGAAGTTAAAAATTTCGGGTTGAGACTCGAGCGTCGGATCTAAGAAATATCTGAGTGGTTTCATTCTCACCCACAGGAAATTGGAGGAATATCCACCTGTTCATTGAGGATCTCAATGTCAAGTTTTACTTTATTCACTGCTATTTTCTTTAACCCCTTCCAAGGACAAAATCAAACTGTTTCTTGTTTCTCTCTGAGAGCACTAACAGCAAAGAGTGTCCTCTTGTTACTTCCAGTGCACCATTTCCCCATTAAAAAATGAAATCAGATGCCGTTAATCTAGGCTTAGCGCGATTGCTCCGGTCCCATCCTCCGGTGTTGCCGGATATCGTGCCTTAGTTATGCCAGATTCATGACTTTTTTGGCCTTAGTATCGGCGTCTGGATCTTATGTTATTTAATGTTAGATATAATTTTGTGTGGAGTTCATTAGATGAGTCGAGATTGGAACGGTGGTTAGCAGTGATTGATCCAAGAGGTGAGATATGGAGATATGCTATCCGGACATCCCCGAATTAACGGAATGGCGCGCACCATGGCTAGCATGCATGCTTCCTGGAGGCATTCTCACCTCAGGTCGATTCCAGATGGTTCGTGAAACTTCAGATAGGCCTAACGTTCTACGTCCGCATTGAAATTGTTCATGAAAAGCGAAATAAGCCTATAAACAGTGTTACGTTACACATCCTCTTTGAAATTAAATGGTTGAAGTTTAGATATTTTTTAAAAGTTTCCTCTGAAATGGTTCGTGAAAGTATGAATGGGCATATGATTGACCAAACGTTACACGTCCTCAACGAGTTGTCTCAAGGACCAGGTATTAATCCGTATAGGCCTAATTGGTTCAATAAGTCGAGGATTGAGTTTCGTTTGAGTATGCCTCAAAAAAAAGTATGCCTAGGCTTGACCCGAAGACAGTCCGTTGGTTAGGCTAGGCTTAGTTAGTTAGTGAGCTCCGTAGAGAAAGGAGAGGTGAGGTGCGGTTGGGATGGGGTGAAGAAACGGAAAGCCTCTAAAAAACGGATTTCAAATTACTATATCAATAGGCTTCGGTAGCGCCTCGTACCTTTCTTCAACCCCTTCCCACCGCAAAATTCATCCTCCTCGTATTCCTCTCTGAGAGCATCAACAGCAACGAAAGTTATCACACTTCTTTCTCTCTCACCACAGAATCGCCCCATCGAATTTAAAGCTCCACCTCCCCGGGGTCGTGGAGAACAAT